GATCTTTGGGTTCTCTGCCAACTCCATGATTTGCATTCTCTAGGATTCTATCTATCTATCTATCTATCTATCTATCTATCTATCTATCTATCTATCCATCCATCCATCTATTGAGGGGTTGGTCTGGATGATCTTTGGGTTCTCCTACAACTCCATGATTTGCATTCTGTCTCTGTATTAGAGAGTTGGACTAGATGACCTTTGGGGGCCTCTTCCATCTCCCGGATCATATGGAAGCACCATTGCATTTGCTCTCCTTGATCTATCTCTCTCTCTCTCTCGCCCTCTGCCAGCCCTTAGCTAATTGGATTCCCATCAGGGGCCCGGCCTGTGAGGTCAGCTCTCCTGAGGATGGGATTAAGAGTCCGCAGGGAGGGAAGGTGAGGGCGTGCGAGGAGGAGGAGGGCCTGGATCCCGGCCCAGGACTCACACTCACACCACCGCCAGGCCTTCGCACACATTAAACCATGATCCATTCCCAAGCTGCAAGAAGACGCGTTGATAAGCCATCCATTACGAAAGCAAGCTCAGCTCCAGAGCAACAGAACAACCAAGGTGTGCGTCTACACCGGGCATGGGCCAGCTTGGGCCCTCCCTCCAGGTGTTTTGGACTTCAACTCCCACAATTCCTAACAGCCGGTAGGCTGTTAGGAATTGTGGGAGTTGAAGTCCAAAACACCTGGAGGGAGGGCCCAAGCTGGCCCATGCTTGGTTTAGAATTGACCGATGTATCATATTACTACTTCCATATTGCAAAAGTATAATCAATAAGGACGATCTTCTCTACCTTTCCTTCCTCTTCCATTTTCTAACTGGAGCCTTTTTAGCAGCATCAGCACTGCATTCAAAACAGTGCTGGAGAAAGCTTGGGTGCATCTCCACTGCAGAAGTAATCCAGTTTGACACCTTGTTAACAGCCTTGGCTCAATATTATGGCATACTGGGAGTTGTAGTTTTACTTTAGCCTTTGGTGAGTATTGAGACCCCCACCAAACTACAACTTGCAGAACTCCATAGCCGTGAGCGACAGCAGTTCAAAGTGGTGTCAAACCGCATTAATTCCGCCATGCAGACGCACCCCAAGGCAGCCTTCCGCGCCGAAGAAATAGCAGAGAAAGGTTTGCTGCTTGGGTTTTGTAACTGGTTAGATTCAGGAAGGATGCCTTCGAAACCAAGATGCCTTTGTGTTCCTGCCAAGGATTTTGAAAGCAGATGTCTCTTATGTAAGACCAGGCAGAACTTGCCATTTCAGACACGTCACGTTGGGCGCATCTGCACTGTGGAATTTAATGCAGATTGACACCGCTTGGACTGCCTCAGAATCCTGGAGTTGTGGTTTTGCAAGCTGCCAAAGAGTGCAAACTACAACTCCTTCTGAATCATGGAGTTGTGGTTTTGCAAGCTGCCAAAGAGTCCAAACTACAACTCCCTCTGAATCCCGGAGTTGTGGTTTTGCAAGCTGCCAAAGAGTGCAAACTACAACTCCCTCTGAATCCTGGAGTTGTGGTTTTGCAAGCTGCCAAAGAGTGCAAACTACAACTCCCTCTGAATCCCGGAGTTGTGGTTTTGCAAGCTGCCAAAGAGTGCAAACTACAACTCCCTCTGAATCCTGGAGTTGTGGTTTCGCAAGCTGCCAAAGAGTGCAAACTACAACTCCCTCGGAATCCTGGAGTTGTGGTTTTGCAAGCTGCCAAAGAGTGCAAACTACAACTTCCATGAATCCACAGCCTTGAGCCATTGCCCTTAAACTGGTGTCAAACTGCATTCATTCTGCAGTGTAGATTAGGAACGGATAAACTTTGGCCCTCCAAGTGTTTTGGACTCCAACTCCCACAATTCCTAACAGCCTCTGGCCCTTTCCTTTCCCCCTCAGCCACTTAAGTGGAAAAGGAAAGGGAAAAGGAAAGGGAACGAGAGACAGGGCCTTTTCTGTGGTGGCCCCTCGGCTTTGGAACACCCTCCCCATAGAGGTATGATCAGCCCCCTCACTGATGGTGTTTCGAAAAAGATTGAAGACATGGATGTTTGAACAAGCATTCGGTTAACCCGGTGCAATGAATTTTGATGATTAAAGGATTGGTAATCATGGACGATGAATTTGGATTGCGATTCTAGTTACGAGATGCACTTGGATTGTTATTGGTGGCCCAATAATTTGTATTGTATATGTGTTTTTTATGCTTTTAAACTGAATATTGTTGTTTTTTGTAGTGTTGTAAACTGCGTTGAGTCGCCGATTTAGGCTGAGAAATAGCGGTATACAAGCGCAGTAATAAATAAATAATAAATAAATAAGGGGCCTGGTGTTGTTAGGAATTGTGGGAGTCGGAGTCCAAAACACCTAGACAGCCCAAGTTTGCTCATGCCTGGGGTAGATGCATCCAATAGAGACCCAAAGCACATAATATTCAAATATGCATCACAAATCTTCAATTATCTCTTAGAATACCAAAGCACTGGGGACAGGCAGACTGGGGGATTCTGGGAGCGGAAGTACAAGAAAGCGACTTTTGAAAACTTTTGCAAACTCTAAACTTGTCACCAAAATAAATAAATGAACGCGAGGGAAACCCATCAACTTAAAAGCCAGCAAACTGTAAAACTAGGACACCAACATCAGGATTAAAACTCTTATCTTAATAGCATTGCTAGCAAGAGGATTCTGGGAGTTGTAGTCCCAACTAAGTCACTTTCCCATTCACAACTAATTTCTAATAACAACATGCCGGGACTCACAAAGTCGGAAAAGGAGCCCTTCAAATACTGCTTATTGGGTTGCTGTAAGTTTTCCAGGCTGTATGGCCATCTTCCAGAAGCATTCTCTCCTGACGTTTTGCCCACATCTATGGCAGGCATTCTCTGTACCTAGTACTATTTAAAAATGAATCAAAATAATACAATAATAATAATGAGTATTCAATGTGTTGTCCAAGGCTTTCATGGCCAGAATCACTGGATGGCTGTAAGTTTTCGAGGCTGTATGGCCATGTTCCAGAAGCATTCTCTCCTGACGTTTCGCCCACATCTATGGCAAGCATCCTCAGAGATTGTGAGGTCTGTTGGAAACGAGGCAAGTGGGGTTTATACCCTATAGAATGTCCAGGGTGGGGGAAAGAACTCTTGTTTGTTGGAGGCAAGTGCGAATGTTGCAATTGGCCACCTTGATTAGCACTGAATGGCCCTCCAGCTTCAAAGCCTGGCTGCTTCCTGCCTGGGGGAATCCTTTGTTGGGGGTGTTTCCTATTTGGCATACCCCTGTTTTTTGAGTGTTGCTCTTTATGAATTCCAGATAGGAAACAATAATAGCCAGCTTCCCAACAAAGGATTACCCCAGGCAGGAAGCAGCCAGTCTTTGAAGCTGCAAGACCATTCAATGCTAATGAAGGTGGCCATTTGCAACATTCGCACTTGCCTCCGACAGACAAGAGTTCTTTCTCCCGCCCTGGACATTCTATAAGGATATAAACCCCACTTGCCTCATTTCCAACAGACCTCACAACCTCTGAGGATGCCTGCCATAGATGTGAGCGAAACGTCAGGAGAGAATGCTTCTGGAACATAGCTAGACAGCCCGGAAAACTCACAGCAATCCAGTGATTCCAGCCATGAAAGCCCTGGACAACACATTGAATACTCATTATTATTATTGTATTATCTTGTATTATTATTATCATTATTAATATTCTGTGTTGTTGTTGTTGTTGTTGTTGCTGTCATATATCGCTTGATTTCCCTTAAAGAGACCCAAAGCTCTGAACAGTGGGAAGAACAACACAATATGGCCTTAAAAACCTAAAGACCATAAACATCCATATACGAGAATTAAACCTAGTGCTATTTAAATATGAATAATTTAGACCATTAAAACCATTCAAGCCAATTTAAATGACACAACGCAACCTGACTCGGTCTTAAAACTTGCTTTAATATTATTATGATGAATTTATATTCATAATATATTTATATTCAGGAGATAATGTTTCTGGAACATGGCCAAACAGCCTGGAAAACTCACAGAAATCCAGTAATTCCGGCCATGAAAGCCTTCGACAACACATTATTATTATTATTATTATTATTATTATTATTATTATTCATTAATATTACTACTATAGTTCTGAATATTACAAACAGGAATAATTTCAAAGAACACAACCTTCCATAAAAAAAATCACATTTACCCTCTGTATAAGCTGAATTATTTTAGATGCTTTGCACCTCAATGCAGAGATAAAAGCAGGATAACAACAACAACAACAACAACAACACATGGTAAAAGCAAGGCACACTCTGGACTCCTGTGTATGTGCTATGGATACCATTATTATTATTATTATTATTATTATTATTATTATTATTATTATTATTATTATTACTATTATTACTATTATTATAATTATTAGGATTGGATCTCCATTACATACACACAGAAACCCAGAGTGATTCATGGCTGGAATCACTGGGTTGCTGTGAGTTTTCCAGGCTGTCTGGCCATGTTCCAGAAGCATTCTCTCCTGATGTTTCGCCCACATCTATGGCAGGCATCCTCAGAGATTGTGATGTCTGTTGGAAACTAGGAAAATTGGGTTTCTAAGTAATATCAACATATTGTCGAAGGCTTTCATGGCCGGAATCACTGGGTTGCTGTGAGTTTTCCGGGCTGTGTGGCCATGTTCCAGAAGCATTCTCTCCTGACATTTCATCCACGTCTATGGCAGGCATCCTCAGAGGTTGTGAGGTCTGTTGGAAACTAGGAAAATGGTCTGTATATATCTGTGGAATAATGTCCAAGGTGGGAGAAAGAATTTTTGTCTGCTTGAGACAAGCGTGAATGTTGACATTGGCCACTTTGATTAGCACTGAATGGCCTTCCAGCTTCAGAGCTTGGCTGTCCTCAGAGGTTGTGAGGACACTAGGCAAGTGGGGTATATATATATATAATATATATGGAATTCCCAGGGTAGGAGAAAGAATTCTTGTCTGCTAGAGGCAAGTGTGAATGTTGCAATTGGCCACCTTGATTAGCACTGAATGGCCTTCCATGGCTACTTCCTGCCTGGGGGAATCCTTTGTTGGGAGGTGTTAACTGGCCCGAATTGTTTCATGCCTGGAATTCATAAAAAGCAACACTAAAAAAACAGGGGAATTCCTGACGTGAAACAATCAGGGCCAGCTATCACTCCCCAACAAACGATTCTCCCAGGCAGGAAGAAGTCAGGCTTTCAAGCTGCAAGGCCATTTAGTGCTAATCAAGGTGGCCAACTGCAACATTCACCCTTGCCTCAAGCAAGCAAGAGGTCTTTCTCCAGGTGTTTTGGACTTCAACTCCCACAGTGAAGCTGCAAGGCCAGTCAATGCTAATCAAAGTGGTAAATTGCAACATTCACACTTGCCTCCAACAAACAAGAGTTCTTTCTCCCACCCTGGATGTTATTCCACAGGGATCTAAACCCCACTTGCCTCATTTCCAACAGACCTCACAACCTCTGAGGATGCCTGCCATAGATGTGGGTGAAACGTCAGGA